GCCAACTGCATCCTTAATTAAAAATGTTACCTTTAGCTAAATGGTGAAAGGCTCTCTTATTATTGTACAAGTTATTTATTTATTTATTGAGATAATATAATGGAGGCCCATATTGCCACGACATATGCATGTCATCATGGTAATATCAAAAATATTATCAGCCCTTTGCTTCAGTGATGAAATTCCATAAATTGAAGTAAAAAATAATAAATTAGTAATAGTTGCTAAGGTTAGAATCTACATGCACGTTTGGTTCGCTTGAAAATATTTTTTAGAAAATATTTTGATGTGAAAAATTATCTCATATCATTAGTTGTGAGAATATTTTCACACGTGGTGTGAAAGATGCATAGGACTGATTGATGTGAAAATTTTCTTATAACTAACCACATGAAAAAATGAGGAAATTCTTTCACGTAAAAATACTTTTTAGAAAAATATTTCCACGCAAAACAAACGTGAGAAGAGGCATCGGGGTATAGGGTGCCAATATGGTACTTGGAGTTGCATTCTCACCCAGTCCCCGGTTAAGATTAAAAACAAGTAAAATATCATAATTAGAACTTATAAGAAGAGTGTCTTAACGTGCACCTTTGTAACAGACCTTTATAACAATCAACGTGTTCAATAAACGTTATTACGAAAGTCGTAATACCTTTCAAGGCCGAGCTCGTGGATAACGTCCAATGCTCTTTCCTCCTTTTGTTGCTTCGTCAAGGTTTTAGGCAGGCGAAGTAGGGCCGCATACGTTAACGTTTCTTTCACCGTTAAATGGGGGAATAAAACGTCGTCTTGAGTAACGAAACCAATCCTGCCCTCATAACAACAACTAATTATTATGACAAATTTTCATTCAAAATTTATTTAAAAAGTTTTTAATTTTTTATTAAAATACACAATTTTCTTATTTAACAAAGAAAAAATATAGCATCCTGTGGAAGATTGAGTACACAAGTACCCTTCCAACAGTTCAGATTAGTTGATTTTATTTTTTTACAAAGTTTATTTCACATAAAAATTAGGGTTAATATTGATTTGGGGTCAAATTTTTTTGACACAATTTATTTTACATAAAAATTAGTTGTAGATTCATCTTATTTCATTGTGAGGCGCACTCAATAAATAAAAAATAATTCAAATAAAAAAAACAAGTCTAATACTACTGAAACATTCTAGGGTCTTTTTTATTTTTACTAGGTGCTCCTGCCCTTGTTAGATGCAAGGACGCCCTGAAATTTGAAAAAAAGTAAAAAATAGAAAAAAGCAAATTAATTGGTGGCCCTCGAATAGATTCTCTTTGCTTAAGCTAAAGTCTTTCAAATCCTCATATGTTTCACCTGGTTTTTTAAAACCTAGCTCTTTCGGATAATTTCCGATAATTGCTTGGGACTTACCTCGTATGGTAAGGGTCCCAACTTGATTATCC